TTCGAGTTTGTCCTCGCTTCGCGTGCCCTTGAATGCGCAAGCAGGCGAAGGTGGGGCCGAGGCATGGATGCGAGATCGCAGTGCTGCCGCTGAATATTTTCAACGTGCTCAGTCATTGGACCCTACCCTTGAGATTCCCGCCCTCCCACACTTGGAGCCGCGTTACCCTGTGGAAGAGCTGGAAATGCCGTATATTGACATAGAGGCATCCGAGTCCGGGAGCCGTTCTGATGTTTCCTATTACAAAGACACAGATCTACGTCGTCGCAAGAAAAAGGAAGATATGTCTTTGTTCAACAATTCTGTTGGAGGAGATGACGCGGATAACACTTGGTATGTTTACATTCCCGGACTTGTGGGTGCTGGTACAGCGCTACTTGTCGTAGGCATTGTGGGGGTGTTGAGCCTTTCAAACTGGTCAAGGAGGAATCAGGGCTCCTGAACTATGGCCATTAATGGATTTGGATTATGTGTAAATAATGTATCATAGCCTTTTGCTTCCAAATGTTGTATCTTTCTATGTCTAATAGATCGTTGTCGAACAGAACGCGTTCATGGGAATGTCGCGCATTATCACCGTGAGAATCAAGACGCAGTTTTGCACTCGTCCCAACTAAGTAGACTAGTGACTCTCAAATTCTTACATTACAGGCTGGCAGCAATGTCCACACCTCAAATTGATCAGGCTGGAAAGGCGCAGGTGTCCACTTCCAAGAGGTGTAGCGGTGTTTGTCATGGCTTGAACGCTCATTTACATCAGATAACACAGCGCTCGAGTTATTCTGCCTGGACCGGAGATTGTTCAATCAATAGATCCAGAATCAGATGAGGACCCTGTGGAAGAAGTTAGCGCTGATGCACCTGAGGAGGGTGACTTCCTTGAGGACTTCCCCGATGAGACCGAGGTGAGCCAAACCTCGATTTATATTTCTATCGCTGGGAGGCTTATCTGCTTTCACAAGGATTTAGAATTAGTGCATGCACGGATTGGATCTTTGACAAATCTTCGACTTCCTCGATTCGCGAATCATCTGAAGCGGCTATGTCTGAGGCAGAACTCTGTCTCCTTTCTGGATCCTGAGGTCTTCAATATGCTTACGAAACTAGAAGAGCTTGACTTGTACGATAACAAACTCAAGTCGTTAGGAGACGCGCTCCTGAAGCTATCAAAACTTGAGTGAGCACTGTCCTTGATTGGTTCAGTTACCGACTTCAAGGACTGCCAGAACATTAGATCTATCGTTCAATCTACTCAAGACAATCCCTGAAGGACTCGCATCTCTCGTCTGCTTACATACCGTCTACTTCGTACAGAACCGAATATCCAAGATCAGTGGTTTTGAATCATGCATCAAATTACGAAGTCTGGAACTGGGTGGTAACAGGATACGGGTGTGTCAAGGCTCATGCCTTTCATTGACTTTCATTCTCAATCATTTTAGAGGATAGAGAACATGGAATCGTTAGTGAACCTCGAAGAACTTTGGCTCGGTAAGAACAAGATTACTAAACTAGAGGTACCAGACAATTCGTGTTTCTTCTGCTTCAGTCATTTACTCGGAATAGAATTTAGGGGCAATGAAGAAGCTGAAGATTCTTTCTTTGCAGTCTAACCGAATCACCCGTCTGGAAAATCTGGAAGAACTAGAGAACCTCGAACAGTTGTACCTGAGCCATAACGGGATTAAGAAGCTCGAGGGACTGGAAAAGAATGTCAGTTTTAGTTCGTTGATCTGTCCTTGTTAATTTCCCCAGCTCAAAACGAAATAGACTAAGCTCACCACTCTCGACTTGGGAAACAACTTTTTACCAGCAATCGAGAATGTATCGCACTTGACATGCTTGGAAGAGCTCTGGGTGTGACTAATTCACCTGTATGTATACCTTCCAAAAATTGACACCACACAGATGAATGGAAATGAAATCCCTGATCTACTGACACTGGAGCCACAACTTGGGGCCATAAAATCTTTACAAACTCTATACCTCGAGGCAAACCCATGCCAGACGAAGGATATGACTGGTTATCGGAGAAAGATAATGTTGGCATTGCCCCAGCTCAAACAGATAGACGCTACGTAAGTACCGACGATGTTACGAATGGCTAAGCGGTCACACCTTCCTTTCCAGATACGTTAGACAAGCATGATACTTGTAACTATTCTGATGGTTATTCCGGTTTTTATTTTGTATTTGGGAACGTGCTCATATCATGTCCTGATCTGTGTGAAATGAGGGTTCTCGCTCTCGTAATTAGAAGTTATCCACTGTTTACGCGGATGATCTGAGAACCGATGGGGTGTTCACCCATACACAAAATGCTCTCTAGGAAAGCATAAAAATTCTGAGTTCATCTTAATGGTACATAATTGACTTAGATGGTATAGGGGTGTTCTGAGTCTGCCATCGAAAAGTTCAACATACAATGGCTTTTGCATGGAACGTTCACTTTCTCCAGAAACAAGATGTCCGATCAGAGACTGCTCGCGCCTTGATCATCCTTAACCAGCCTTTTTCTCGCGAACTCTTCATTCGTGTCTGGGATGCATGTATCTGGTGTGCATGCGCAGACGGTGGTGCCAACAGACTTTACGATCTGTTCGACGATGAACCGGAATTACGCATGGTGTAGGTCGCGAGCAAGGCGTTACTATGCTTATTGTTTGACATGCCACGGACATAGCTATCTTCCACATCTTATTAAAGGCGACCTGGACTCTATCCGAGATGACGTACGCTCGTTTTATCAATCTCTTGTGCGTCCTTCATCTTGGTCTCGATGGATTCGTACATTTGACCTTCACACAGGGCGTCCCAGTGGTACATGATGCGGGCCAGGACTCAACTGACCTCATGAAGTGTGTGAGCGCCATCGAGGAGAAAGAGCGTACTGAACGAGACGTCAAATACGACATCATAATCCTTGGTGGGCTGGGAGGACGCCTTGACCAGACAATACACACTCTGTCGTACCTACACAAGCTACGAAAAACCAGAAAACGCGTCTTCGCAGTCACAGACGATAACGTAGGCTGGGTGCTCGATGCAGTGCGCTTTCACACTTTTTTTGCATCCTCCAATCGATTTAACGATCCAACAAGGGCGAGCATGTCATTGAAATAGATCATAACATCCTGGGTCAGACATGTGGTTTGCTGCCCGTTGGAATAGATTCAACGATCCTTACAACATCCGGGTTGCGATGGAATTTAGGTTTGTGGAGGTTTTGAGATAGGCATTGACTACTTTCTGAACTATAAACGCAGAAGATCAATCTTCCTCGTTCGACGGGTTGGTATCCACATCGAATCATCTCGTTCCTGAAGAGGACGAAGTCCGAATCAAGACTTCGCGCCCGATATGGTGGACTGCAGAACTCAGGAGATCGGGCTTGGTGTAAATGATATTTACATATGTACAGAGTTTTTTTGTGGTTGCCGATGTCGGTAGTATGCCGCGGACAGTCGCGTGAACTCAACAAGTAGCTTCTGAACTACCATGTCAAATCGCACCATCACTGTCCTCTATTTTGCAGCAGCCTCGACAGCCATCAATATGACTGAAGAGACCGTGCCTCTACCTGGAGACGGATCTTTCCCACTTTCATCGCTTGCTGCACTCCTCACCACACGTCATTCAGCGACAAATCTAGGAAAGGTGCTAGAGAACAGTCAATGGAGCGTGAACGCAGAGATGGTGGATAACCCAGAGGTGATGGAATTGCAAGGGGGCGAAGAGGTCGCTGTCATTTGTCCAGTCTCTGGGGGATGAAAAGATTGATTTCGGGTCTGACATTCTAGTGAGTGAGGGGGTAAACTCTCACTCATTCTAGTTTTGACTCTTTTTCTGCTGATCAAACGTTTTCTTGCAGACTTGAATATGGATTTACATGACCATCGTATATACCTCGTCAAATCTAACCTTAATCATCTATCTTCATACAGCGAACAATAATCTGCCCTTTGCACGTTCAGCCAATAATTTGGAGCTTTTCAGGAAGGAGTATGTATGTTGCTGTTGCTGTTGAAGAAGCTAGAAGTCTACAACTTGTGCGACGTCCGTCGACCGGAAGACCAGAACAAACCAATGCAGATGGTTGCGACTGGTTCCTTGTCGTGACCAGTTCCCACTCTTTTCGGACTTCATTTTGTTTACCCCATCATTTCTGAGTACCTGCCCGTCGAGGACTCATTTGATATATTGATTTGCTACAGGTATATAAACACGCACTATGTATCTGGTAGCTAATTCTTCCCAATCTCAGAGCTTACACCCGTTCTCCTATTGCGTGAAGACTCTTTCTCCCGTGTAACCTCACCGTCACATCACGCTGCGGTTACATTCCTGGTCGACCACTTTAAGTAATCAACGGCATTTGAGTCACAAGCAGATATTGTCCTTCTTGCTATATTCTAAACATCGGTCACGTATTCCCATCACCATTGCCTAAAAGTTCCATAGAGTATTATAGAGGATCGATATTACTCGAAGTCTATGTGTGTCGACCATCAGATACATGTGTACTTGCGACGAAAACGATCGAGCCGGCGATGGCTACAAACCGAAGATAGCCTCCGGAAGTCACTGAAGAAGATCAAGCAAAAGCATGGTCAATTTGAATTCAATACAGCTGATTGGAGCACATCATCGAGCTATATACCTCCGACTTAACACTTTGAAATATTATAGGACAAGAATACCCATGTATAGAAACCTGAGTCTAGGAGAGTGGAATCGATACAGTTCAACGGGTGGGCATACCTTGATAGACCCCGATGGATGATGAATCGATGACTTCTGGCATAAGCCCACCATGACAACCAACGTCAACAATTTCTGGTTGAGTAAGCGGTTCTATTGTTCACCACTCACCCGTCTTCTGGATAGGTAATGGCACTGTTTCTTTTTTGGAAACGTGTGGTGGCCACGCTTATGGCATGAAACAACCCCCCAGGAGCTGATCCAGCCTCAGATACATACCGTGGGGTAATAAATAACGACCGACCTTAGCTCAGTTGGTAGAGCGTGAGACTGTAATGGTTGCTATATCTCAATGTCACCTGTTCGATCCAGGTAGGTCGGATGATTATTGTCATAACATTTTGCTTTTGTACATCCTTAAGGTTGGTGGTTTATGATGTGCAATCAAGCCGACCAGGGCGAGAAATAATTGTGTAGCGTATCTGAGTGTCACGCATCGTGACGATGCCTTTCTATCGACATTTTACTTCTCTAACTCGATGGTGATCCGGTAATTGTTCAGACGATGCCACCATCGAGCAACTCCAAGGGCAAAGGCGTCAGCGTCAGTTCTTTCCTCGATCTGAAAGGGGAAATCGCGAGGCAGGAGGCGGAATTTGCGAAGACTAAAGCTGCTGGAAAGTATGTTATAGGAGGTGTAAAGCGGCCAGACAAGGTACGACGGACTGCCTACAGCATGCTTGACACTTTGGACATTGACATGTTCCAGAAACCTACAGTCTGGGCGAAACAAAATAAGGGCCTCCAAACCCGGGCCGCTCGAGATGTGGAACTTGAGGCTGTAAGCAAGCCAACTCTGGAATCTGCGCGTGCCGCATTGGAACGCAAAGCGAAGATCTACGACAAACTACAGAAAGGGAAGACTGGTGGTCTGAGTGATAGGCAGTACGATGCTCTCCTGGTGGATGTGAGTTACCTTTCTTTTGGCAGGTTTTGATACTGAACTTCCCTTGATAGTTCGACTCAAAGCCTAGCTCGGGGCATTATGAATCAGATAGTGACGACGTTGACGAATCTATCGAAGTAGCTCGACCGCATGACGGGGTGCGTTATGGTCTTTCCAAACAAATGAAACATCTGACACACAGAAGGACGACCCAATGGTGGAATATGAGGATGAGTTTGGTCGTATCAGAACTGTGAGGCGTTCTGAAGTTCCAAGAGCTTTCGCTTCAGCAGTAGACGAGCCCGATGAAGACGAGTGTGTCATTTTCCCCTCACACCAGTTAGTTTCTGACTCATCGCTTTGTCTAGGGATATTATAATTCGTAAGTTACTTTTTCTCCTTGTTAACCTAATTGACCGACGCTCTCAGGCAACCCCGTCAATCACTTCCCCGTTTATGAACCAAGTGCCGAACGAGTTGCGGAAATCACAGCGAAGTTCGCGGAAGAAAATAATCCTCTAAATATACATTACGACGCGTCTAGGGAGAACCGAGCGAAAGGCGCCGCATTCTACCAGTTTTCCGGGGACGAAGAGACACGGCGGAAACAGATGGAGGAACTTAAGGCTGTGCGAGAAGAGACCGGACAAATTCGGCAGGAACTAGGCGCAGTGGACGTGAGACCCGGTGAAGTTGAAGGCATGCAGAGTTCTGGGGACGGGGGCCGAAGTCGGGCAATGGAGAAAAGAAAGAGGGAGTTGGAGGAAAGGCGGAAGCTATTGGATGCGAAGCGGAGGAAGCTTCAAGGAGGAATTGATTCTTCAACGTTGGAACCACCGCGTGCATCTACATCAGCAAGCTCATCCTCGGTTATTCGCAATCCCTCGTCATCTTCAACTCCACCAGACCCTCTTACTGTTCTTGAGATGACGACCAAACCGGAACGTGACAAGAGCAAGGGAAAGGTAATCTCAACCTCTGATGCTGATCAATTTCTGGCGCAACTAGAGTACGACTTTCTTTCCAAAGGTCGATGACAATAACTACTACCATATTCTCTTCCTCCTATCCTTACATGAACTCGCGATTGTCATCACAATCCGCGTTGGCAGACTTCGCGCAGGAACTTCTGTTTTATCCCTATAGATTCCTTGAGAGAGGGCGAACTTGCAGCCACGTTTGAATTGGGTCTTCTCCTTGCGGCGCGTGAATTCAAGAGAGGCGATAGTGATAGATGGTGGGTTGGAATCAAAAAGGACCTTTGGACGACTTGATCGGTCTCACTTAACCGTTTCATCTATATCCTTTGAATTTTGTACGTCTATTTTGGTTTAATGTATCGCTGAGGTTCAAGAGGCGTTTGTGCCTCACATTATGATAACCTTTGTCTGATTCCACATACACCAAGATCGGAGGTCAACAACGGGTCATTAAATGACTTCCAGATAATGAACCGGAGAAGGTGACTTGGCCAGTCTGGGAACCGACAAGGAAACTAAGGACGTCAGCAGAGGCCTTGGTCTAAATTACTCGACGTGGAGCAAACTTATTAGATCACCGGTCAGTCTGACAGGTCTTAATTACCTTCCTCAAGCTTGATGATTTCTCACTTCCTGGTTCAAGTGGCAAATCCCTCTCATCAGGCTCTCACTATTTGGATTCGAACTCCCTATAATGTGGTCTACTGTGTCGCAGACGGTTTATTTATGCCGCAAGCATACAAGATCCTCAGCAGTCCATATTTGCGACTCAGTGCCAGCATATTTCGCTGAAAAAATAGTGGTCACCGAATGAAGTATTCATGTTAGCGGACCATCAGGATTTTACTATATGGCTCCTGGGAATCGTATCGAAGACTCAACCTTTAAAATGGAATGAGTTTAGGACGGGGGGTCGTAACAATCGATGAGCCAACACTTTGGCAAGAAAGGAATGGCTGTGTCAAACACCGTCGAGACATACGACCCAAGATTTTTTTCTGAAGTACCGCGTGATGACTTGGATCGATGGCCAACCTTAATTTCCGTGATGAACGGATTTGATTGCACGAAAGACACCGATGCACAAAGCACTTACTTTCGAAAGGTGTAGTAGATGAGCAACCCACGCGGTGTCCTTTGCGGCACCGCCGTTCGGCACCGTTCGGCCCTTTTTGAGAAGTTATTGGGGATCAGTAGAGAGCGATGGGCGAGAAGTTGATACCGGGCAGACATAATGAGCATGTGAAAAGCCTGAGGCTAAGGCCACCAAGACAAATAGAGCGACAAACTCTTCGCATGAGCGCCAAATTTGGTGATGGATCCGTGCCAAGTGCGAAACTGTGATTACGTTCGGACTAGTACTACGAACGACAAATCCGGCTAAGTACGATGCTAGCCAAAAGGCGACTTATAAGGCTTTCGGATGCTCACCAAGTTTGCTGAACTTGCGAGACCCAGCTGCGGTACAGATCATATGATATAACTTGGCCTTGCCTACTATGTATGAAGGTGCGAGAGCTCAGCGCTGACGAGTGGGCCGGTATTTCCCAATGCCGGTAACAACATTCTGCGCGGTGTTCACGGTCAAACTATACTCTGAGTGTATGTGGGAGCCTCAATAAAGCGGACCAGAGCGAGTGAGAAAACGTAGTCTATCGTGCATGAACATCTTCATGGATGTGTCAAAGGCGATATAATTTTTCCTTGATCATCTTAGAAATTCGAATAGAACGATTCACCAAAAGGCCGTGTGGAACATGATGAAAAGGAGAAGCTTGTGACAAGTGAGGAGAATCATAAAGAAAAGAGCCACAGTTTCTAAAAGGGGCATCTATCGATTGGGGCATGTTCGAACAGGTGCGCCACACGAATGTGTGATAAAAGAACATGAAAATCAAGACAAGAGAGGGGCAAGAATAAAATCCTTGCAATATCCTAAGAGTTCAAAATACTGAAAGACATTCTGTGAGATAGAAGTGTAACAGTGTTTTTGCGATCCACACTAACTAGATTCGATGTTTTCAGATTGGTTCTCCAGCGAGAAGTCTAAACGATAGAATTCTCACGAGTCAATGCCGAATCAAGCCTGATGTTGGGTAAGAGAACTAGACCGTAATATGCCCTTGGTGTTCGTGAGGACCGACAGTTCCGGGAAACATCTCTGGATGGAGAATATGAAAATACCATGGTCCAACAAACGAAGTATAAAAAGCGACAGCGCATACTCAGTTCGTTGTAGCTTGCTAGCTCTTATCCTCGCTTACTGCTACTTTTCTTCCTATCGCCTATTATGATGTACCGTCTCTCCAGCCTTCTCCTCTGCCTCGCAACTTCCGTTGCCGCCATCTCCATACCTCAAATACAGCGTGGCGTCACTCACCGCGCGGTGGAGATATTGGCATCTCCGGTACCTTCCATTGCCATAGAAGTCTCCCCCACCGTCAAGACCAAATCTGCTGCTAGCGAACTCAAGGTCCTCGACAGCGTCCCTAGTTTTTTAATCGGTACCCAGACCGGCGATGCCACATTCTACCCCAGTTTCGTTACTTTGAGTTGATTTTGAGTCCATTGTTAACATCTGTCATCTAGCCGGTCTTGGCGCATGCGGCATCGTCAACAAGGATACCGATCACATTGCCGCCGTCTCCCATCTCCTCTTTGACGCCTTCCCGTATGTGTTCTCTTCTCTCATTGATCTTTTCCCTATCTCATCAGTGATCAGCGGTTACAACGGTCTCAACCCGAATACGAACCCCTTGTGCGGTAAAAAGGTTTCTGTGTCTTGTATGTCATACTTATAGCTCCTAATTCCATCCAATACCTGTCAATAATATACCGTCCAGATGGTGGCAAGTCTGTCGTTGTTACTCTCACCGATCGTTGCGAGGGTTGTGCCCTCACCGATCTTGATTTATCGCCTGCTGCGTTTGATGTCCTTGCCGACCCCAGTGTCGGTCGCCTTCACGGTATGACTTGGAAGTGGCTGGACTAGAAGTTCCGCTAGATTGCGAATATCAAGGATTTCTTTCTGTAGGTATTGTATTCATCACGGGCCCTCAAAGTATCAAAAAGAACTAAAAGTAAATTGTCAGTTCGTTCCGCATTATGCTCTTGTTGGATTGCTTCCCCACCTTTCTCCCTTTTACTTGGTCATTACCTCTCTAGATTAGAAAATGACCTTGACAGAGAAAAGTTCATTTTTGTTTTTGATAATAAATTTGTTCGTCCTTATATGCGCCCAACGCTTGTTCATCTAAACAACGCAAGACCCACGGCAGTTTCGCGTTTGATTTCCGGTCGAAGCATTTGTCGGTGAATCAAGTGTTAGGCGTCGTAAAGGCGACCCTCTGAGGATCCTGCTATACGGTCCCCAGAGTTGTCCTTGAGGGGAATGGTTTATGGTAAGGGATAGAACAAGCTTAGGTCCGTCAAAGTCTATTCACACGTCAGACTGAA